CTTGTTTTATTTTTTTTTTTTTTTTTTTTTTTTTTTTTTTGTGGTACCAGGGATCGAACTTGGGTCCTTGCGCTTGCAAGGCAGGTGGCAGCACCACTGAGCTAAATCCCTGGCCCTCTCTTTTAATTTTGTTTGGTACCAGAGATCAAACTCAGGTTCTTGTACTTAAGATGCAGGTAGCAGAACCACTGACTGAAAACAAAGGTCCAACTGGAAAGGTACATCAGAATCACCTTTGGGGTTTTTAAAAAATTAGACAACACTCAGGTTCCATTGTGTAGATTCTGACACAGTACACCTGTGATGACCTACACTTTGTATTTCTATCAGAATCTTCAGCACTAGGGCTTACATACATATTCTTAAAACTCCAGTCACTTCTTAATGCTCGATTAACAGTTATTGTGCCAAGAAGCACTTTCAACATATTCTTCCCAGTAGTGATAAGTTGGAATGAATGGGATTTGGTGATAATTCACTGAGTTCTATGTAAATTAATTTTATCATATAAACAATAAAAATGTCTAGCCATACAGATCAGATTCATACTTACTTGCTAAAAGCAGACAGGAAAGTGCAACTAAATGTAGTTGCTGGATAGAGATGTCATAGCGATCCATAAACAAGTCCAGTAAATAGACAGCAAGATGTCTGGCAGAAGGGCAGAGCGTGAAGCGATTGCTTACAATGGCAATCAAGTCAGCAAAATACCTTCTGAGACTTAGTTGAGGGGACTGGCCTTTGTAGGAGGGCAATTTCAGCTCCTAAAGCAAGAGGAACAACATTTAATCTGATATAATTTGTAGAAGTATCCCCATAATACAATGACTTAAGTGCTCAAAAGGGACTTTTCTTGAATGGTACAGAGGAATGAAAAAGTTGAGTGGGAAGATAATAAATAGCATTAAAAATTAATCTAAAACAAAAATTCTCTCCTCATTCTTAACCTCCTCTGATGTGACCATTTATAAATGGTCCTTGCCTCATGGAATGGATACATGCTACAAAGATTTACAGGAGAATTCTGTTTTCTCCATCAGGCGTTTTCAGAAAAATGTTCTTACCAAACACCAACAACACATACATACATCCCTACCTTCCACCACGAAGATCAAAGCTCTTGGTTAGACAGTAACAGATTAAGTGCACATGATCATACTATGTTGCCTACTATATTAAACTGGCAGGGATGTGGAGACCAGCACTCATCTATTACTATCTTCTAATCTTATTTCCCTTTTAGTTATTTTATGATCTCTCCTTTGTCATTATCCTTCATACATCTAAATGTTTTCCCATGATCATCATTCAATCTTATATGAACATTTTTTAAAAATTTGAAAGTTTATATTTCAAGAATATAAAGATGGAAAGCTTTCAAATTCACTTTATAAGATCAGCATGATACTGAAATTAACCCCAAGAATACCAGGAAGTAACACAGGATAGGATATCAGAAGCACAGAAAAAAAGATAAATTGTGCTTTTATATAATTTTATATATCAAAGGACATATCAACAGAGTAAAAAGGCAGCCCACAGAATGGGATAAAGTATTTGCAAATCATGTATCTGATAAATTAGGGCCAGGGATTTAGCTCAGTGGTGCCACCAACTGCTTTGCAAGCACAAGGTCCTGAGTTCAATCCCTGGTACAAAAAGAAAAAAAGCCATGTATCTGATAAGTTAATATCTAAATTATATAAAGAACTACAACTCAATAATTAAATAACCTGACCTAAAAGTGGGCAAGGAACTTGAACAGATATTTCTCTAAAGAAAACATAAAATAGTCAACGAGCACCTGAAAAGATGTTCAATGTTAATAATTCAGGAAATGCAAATCAAAAGCACTACAAGATATCACTTCACACTCATTCAGATTGCCATTAAAACAAGTGTTGGCAAGAGTGTGGAGAAACTGGACACCTTATGCATTACTAGTAGGAATATAAAATCAAGTAGTGGCTGAAGATAATATGGGAGGTGTCTTGAAAAATTAAATATAGAATTACCAAATAATCCACCAATTCCATTATAGAAATATATTCAAAAGAACTATAAGAGGCCCAAACAGATATTTGTACAGCTATGTTCAAAACATCATTCGTTATACATAATGGCCATAATGGCCAAAAGATGAAACAACCCAAATGCCCATCAACAGATTAATGGATAAACAAAATGGGGCATACACATACAACAAAATACTGTTCAGCTTTAAAAAGAAAACTGATATGTGCCACATGAATGAACCTTAAAGAAAGTGTCAAGTGAGTAAGTTGAACACAAAATTATTGTATGATTACTTACATGAAGTACTTAGAACAGCCACATTCATAGGGACAGTGAGTAGAGTAGAATAATGGTTATTATAGCAAACAGAGTGAGAGACTGGGAAGTCATTGTTGAATGGGTAAGAAGTTTCAGTTTGGGAAGATGAAGTTATAAAGATGGAGAAAGGTAATGTTAGCAAAACAATGTAAATGTATACAGTGTCACTGAACTGTCACTTAAAAGTGATGTAATTCAATACTATCTAAGATAGATAAAATAGTAGCCAATGTCATTTAGTAATGCATCCAAAAAGTACTTCATCATCAACTGTAGTACATCTCAGGAATATAAGGATGGCTGGATGGCATGAATATTATTACAGTACGTCACAATGATGATTCACACTTAAATATGCACATTCATCTTGACAGATGCCAAAACAGCATCTGAAATAAAAATGACCCTGCGAGAAATAAGAACACATATGCATATATATCTTGGATGAAGGAACGAATGGAAGGAGGTAATAAGATCTGAAACTTAACAGCAGTATTTCAATTAAAGGTAAAATAGGAGGATTACTATTCTAGTGCCCATTACCGCAACAGTTCTAATAATTATTCTGTACATACCAATCAATTCAAATAGAAAGAAAAAGTGAATACTGTAATCACGGCATATTATAAAAACACTGGGGAAGGTGATATAATTCAAAAGTCATTTTCAGGAACATATTTTTTCATATGGTACAATTTTTATCCAGAAAACCCTTGAAAATTAACAGAATAAAAAGAAACGGTAAGAATTCAGTAGGATGGCTGGCTACAAAGTAAATATTTCAAAATAGCTTTTCTGTATACTAATTACCAATTAGAAAATAGAGTATTTCATATATAGTAACTATTAAAATGAAAACACTTAGAAATACATTTATATATGCCAACACTGTATGAAAATAAACCTCATGAGTTAGGGAAGACTTACATACACAGAAAGACATTCCATTTTCTTGGATAAATGATGTATACGATGACAATGGCATTTAATAAATGGGGAGAATAGATATATTTAATAATTCTGTCACATATGACAAAAAACTGATTTGTTGGAGAACTTGTCAGAAAAAAACCAATGTATGAACAAATAGATCAAAGGAAAAATACAATAGCTCATAAGAAAAACATAATAAGGCCCAAAACATGTGGCCTTGGGCTGGGGATTTAGCTCAGCGGTTTGGTGGCCTGTCTTGCAAGCTCAAGGACCGGAGTTCAATCCCCGGTACCAAAAAAAAAACAACCAACCAACCAAACAAACAAACATGTGGCCTATTAACTTATTAGGTCATTCTATGTTTATAATGTTTATATAGGAAAAGTAAATACTGAGACAAAATTTTCTCCAAATAAAGAGAACATTAGTTTCTTGTGTAAGCCCTTGGAGTTCTTTTTTCCTTCACTATTTCTACAGATATTTACAATGGTACAGATGGGTTATAACTATGTCTTTCTTTCTTGCCATCATGTGATATTACTAATCATCTCCCATGTAGCAGCCACTGCGCTAAACCCAGGGGATACTGTAGCTGGAAGAAGTCTCAAGCCTCTCTTTAGCAAGTAAATAAAAAATACATGGATGATTAGAATACAACATTGTAATCACAGCATATTATAAGAACAATGAGGAAGGTGATATAGCTCAGCTCAGAGGAATGGGAATTTGTGAAAAAAACAAAGCCAGGGTTGGGCGTTCTAGGAAAAGAGGGCTGAACTTGACAGATCCACTAGAATACATACTTGGAAAATCCTAAGGGGCTTTATTGCTCATGATGTTAACCTTTACCAATTATATTGGAAACAAAGACAATAGGGACTGGGGATACAGTGACTAGGATGCAGTGGGCTCTGGGTTTGATCCCTAATATTGCAAAGGAAAAAACAGGAGCAGGAACCCCAAGGGCCATCAAATGAATTTTAAATGTCCAGGTATTACAGTTAAAAAGCATCAGAATGACTATGCTGCTCTAAAACTGTAAGTTTCTTCTGTTGCTTATTTCAAATCCCTTAGAACTGAACACTTGTTTCCATCTGGTTCTTAGCAACCCATATGAAAAAAAGGGAGAAGCCTGAATACATCATCTTTATCCTCAAGTCTTCATCAGCGTACCACCCCAAAACTCACCACCCTAGTGCCACTGACCAGCTAGGATGGAAATAAATGCCTAGAAGAAATACTCAGAAGTTTAAGCACAACTCTATGGAATAGATATTTTCTTAGTGCTTTTCACAAAGTTGGAATTGTTCTCAATTCTCATGAAGCCTCTCAAAAATACTCTCCCAAACAGACTTGATACTAACGAGACACAGGTATCTAAAAAGATACTTGTTTCATAGGTTTTTTGGAATGGTAAATTATTTTACAAAACAGTATATTTAGTATTGGGGCCAAAGAGTATCCATTCTATTTTCACTCTTTCCAAGCAGGAACAACGCTGGTTACAATTACTTTCTCGGGCTGGGGACTTAGCTCAGTGGTTCCACCACCTGCCTTGCAAATTCAATCCCCGGTACGAAAAAAAAAAAAAAAAAAATTACTTTCTCCACAAACCTCCAGTCTAAACATAAGACATTTTACCCCACATCAGAATGGTAACTGTAAGACTTTTACACAGTTACTGCTCTAACATCTGGCATAGTACCTTGCACATGGTGAGTATTTGACATGTTGAATAAACAGATGACTATCCAATTAAATCATCAATTAGCATGAAATTAACGTGTCTTTCCTATGAGAAAAGTTTACTCTGACTTCCTTGATTTCAATGTACTACAGAGAGTGGTCTCTGCAGTTTTGCAATGTCAAGTCCTACCAATTAACATAAATTCTCTATAAAGTGCAGCCAGTCTATCAAATGATGAACATGGTCCACACAAGGCTTAAAGATAAAGACAACCCAGGGCATTATGTTCCAGCTGGCCTGTGACAACTTTCAGCAGCATTCCTTTAGTACTTGTGCTACCTTGTCCTCTGATAGTTTATGAGCATCTAAATGGCAGAGCTGTTTTATTCCTTGGAACCTCTGGAAACTGATGTATCAAAGCATTCAACAAATCTGAACTTAAAAAAAAATCTAAACTCAAGTGATAAAATTAACTCATAATTATTCAGGATTAAAATCATCTACTCATAAAATACAAGAATTGAAAATCATGATATGAGAAAATGAAAAAATGGAAACAAAATCTTTGTAAATAGGGGAGGGAAGAGGGCTAAAGGGAGGGTATGGGGAAAAATTGAGAACCAAGACCTGTCGTGTAAAGGTACAAGATCCCAATGATGAATGTAACTGTACTGTATACCTAAAAAGTGCCAATAAACTCCATGAGAAAAAAAGAAATCATGGAGATTTCTTAGGTGTTATATCAATTGAAAAATATATAAATATATGCATCATTAACCATTAATTTTATCACATCCTAGAGGGATAAAAAGGTTGACACTTAAGAACATTTCTTTTTTATTTATTTATTTATATATATATATTTTTAAAGAACATTTCAAACTGAAAGATGGTATGTCAAAAAGAAAAGCAAAAGTATGTCTGGGCAATTTTCAAAGTGGAAAATCTATAACTCTCATCAACGCTCTAGAAAACCATTCCATAGTTAAAACTCTTATGTGGTACAAACAGTGCTGTTGGGGGCATAAGGTGTCTACAGCGTAAGAAACTGAATGCCACAAATAGTAAACAGCATTTGGAAACCTCAAGCTTTAGAAAATGGTACAATTTTAAAAATGTAAATCAGAATTAGATCTTCTAATTTACTAAACCTGGCCAAAAACTCAACATACAAGTTTATCATCATCCCAGGATCTCTTAACAAGGGCCAGAATTCCTTTTATTAAAGAGTCACCTGTTTTGCTTCTTAATCTTCTACACTTAACAAATGGCTCTCTCTATATCCTAGGTGAAACTGAGTTAAGTTAGAGATAATTTTGGATCTGGTTTCTCTTCTGGTCTTCAAAGAGGCACAGCAGTCCTATTAATCTGACTTGTGACATGCGCAGTAAAACTTATGAGCACAACACACAGACTTTAAGCCAGAAAGAGTATTTTTTCCAATATTCATAAGTATAGTAAACAATTCTACTTTCTATCTCTAACATTAGCAGGAAGGAGTAGCTAATTCCTTTCACCTTAAGGCTAATTTCTGAACTGCTCCAAATCTTAAGGGGCAAGTAATAACAGTTATTTTTTTGGCTTACTATATGCCAAACACTATTCTTAGCCCCCGTAAGGTACTGACATTTAAATTTCACCACCATTCGATGAGGTACATTCTGTGATTCCTCATTTACAGATGAAGAAACTGAGAAACTGCAACTGAGTGGAAAGGCTGAGGAATTTAGTAATGTACCAATGTGACGTAAATGCTGCATAACTTAAATACAAGATCAATGCTACGGTCCACCTGGCAGCAAGAACTTTGGGCTATTCCTTTCTATCTTCCCTTCCCAACTAACACCCCCAACACACCTCCTCATTTAAGCTGCAGGTTCTTCTGATATGCCCGGGGAAGGAACTAAGAATTAGTCAAATAAGCAAAGCTCGATCGAGTCTTTTGGGCTGGAAGACAGTAGTAAAGAACCTGACCAGACTTTCAAGGGAACTGAGATTCCTAACTGGCGCCAGCCGCACACAGGAGGTCGGGTAGTAGGATTACCTTGTAGCGAAGCGCTTGGTGGATGTCGGCAGCCAGCTGTCCTCGCCACCACTGCCCCTCCAGCTCCATGGGACCCGGCGGCGCGCCCAGGCAGACGCTGTAACTTCAGTCTGAAAGACACGCCCCAGGTCCGCTCACAGCCAGCAACTTTGCCCACGACCCTCCGCGCCCCCTCCCCGAAAGGTGCGACCTCTGCCGCCCGGTGTGGCTGTTCATCTTCACCTGACTCATCCTAAACCCGGCACCTATCCAAAACAATCCCCAGACGCCACACGTAAGACTCGATCTACCCACTCTGGAGATACTGGTTTACTTGGGGAGCTGCCCCACTAGATGCTTTGCAAGAAAGGTGCAACTCGGGCCTCGCGTGCTAAAGCAAGGACCTGGTCGCCAGCTGTGGAAACGCCTAAGGCTCCCGGCGTCCTGGGTTCGAACCCTCCTGCCATCTCGAGGAGCGGGGAGGGCACACCAGTTCCAGCCAGTGGGAGACGAAAAGCCCACACCAAGAGGCCCGAAGGCCACAGCCCGCCTGGCGCCTGCTCCTCCCCGGGACTAAGGGACGCACCCGGCTGCGCCGCACCAGAAAGGGAACAAAAGGCCGAGCCGGAGAGCTCCGCGCCTCGCCCCGGCGGCCGGGTGCCCGCGCCCAATCCAGGCCGCCCGGTCTACAGCGGATCCCTCACCCAGAACCGCGGCCGTCACAGTCTCAGTCCCGCCGGCCTGCGGGCT